TTATACTATAAACTTTTTTGGTCATCTATTCTAATTGTAACCTCGACTAATGTTCATCTCGTTTTGTGTACTACTATATATATATATGATATTAATATATTCCGGTCGTTATTCGTTGGGTCGTTATCGTTACAGACATATTTTCACATAGACAGTAAACCTTTGTTTCCGTCCGTTTGCACGTTTTATTAAACCTTACTTCACCTGTGTTTGTCGTATGTATCGGGAACAAAACACGGAAAAGACTACATTGAGAATAACACTTCCGACGTTGTACGACTTAAGGCCATACGTAACATCTTACCCCGTAACAGGAGTAGCCATATATATATATATATATATATATATATATATATATATATTTGTAATTCTATTTGAGGAAAAAGCCCCTTGTGACGGCAAATAAATAATATGATTAAAATCTAATCTCTACTACTACAAGGAAAACAATCAGGTATTCTTTATGACATATAACACTTAATACAAATATAAAGATATAAATATTTGCAATGTCAAAAAGCAACATTCATATGGAATATATTGAATGAAACCACTGTTAAAATGTTACGAATATTTCCAAAGTCTTGACCTGTGAGACCATTGCTAAAAGTGTGCTTTTTTCCTGTAACCTAAAAATATAAAAATTGATAAGATGAGATAAGATGGACCTTTATTCATCCCCGTAGAGATATTCACGTATCGTAACAGCAGCAGAAAAGAGAAAGAAACAAAGATAGTAGGCCCTACACATAATAAGAATAAAAGTAAACAAATTGATAATAAAAATAAAACATGTATTAATGCACGAACGAGAGATGGTTCTTGCACCATTATGTCTGTACCAGATTTCCGGACTTAAGACCAAGCTTAACAGTTGTGTGGCATTGTTTTAATCACGTTAAATATAGTAGCCTATTTGGTAGTAGATTGGTTCATGACTAACAAATTGAAATGAACGAAAGTATAAAACGGGTCAACGGTTGTTTTGAAAAGCTTAACCGGATGTCCCTCTTCTAACTGTCCGTCTTGACACCGGTACCTAGTGGCCCAGTGAGCCCGGTCTTTGAAGGATAACAGAGTATCGCCCCGGCGGACAGCAGCGGTAGCCTTCTGGCTCGGATATTTTTTCATTTTCTGGATTTTTTCCCCCACACACAAACTCCAGGATGCCTTCAAATCTGCAAGGTAAAACACAAAAGAACAACAGCGGAATGCTTTATTGTCTGTTTCTCGGGTATTAATGTCCGCTGCTAGCTTGAGTCTTTACAATAGAGCATCAGCAGGCCGACCCCGACTACAATACGAGCTAAATCCTAATTAACCAGCATGCAATTAACAAAATGTGCTTTTTTTCACAGGAGGGAAATCCTTTGGACTGTTAAAGGAGCAGCAAAGGGTGAAACTGGACGAAATAAACAAGGTACGCATGTGTCCTCATATCTCCATGTGTCGTGTCTAACGTCCTCTCACTGGAATTTGAATGTAATGAGCCTGCATCCACTTGACTTGGCATTGGCCTCTCTTTGCACTGATGTATCAAGGCAGTTCGTGTAAAAGGAGTCCCCTGAACGCCACACAGGTTATTTTATTACTATTTTATTGGAGCTGGTAATGCATTTGATTGATTTCCCGCTGCAGTCTTGTGGCACTTGTTGAATGGCTGACACACATGTAAGGCATTTCCCTTCTGACCCCGTAATATCGATCAGTTGTTCCCCCGTGTTTTGTTGCTCCTCTGCCGGGGAACAGGTGTGTGAACGAGCCCTTTGTCTCACATCGGGCCTCGCTTGCTCGGACTCCTCCACACTGCTCTCCTCAGATTAACTGGATGTCTGTATAATCTCTCCCTCACTTTGATGTCATCGCCTCACATGAAAAACCAGGTCGCATCAAGAGGACAGCCTGCAGCGCCTGTCACATTCCTACACACACACACACACACACACACACACACACACACACGCACACGCACACACACACGCACGCACAATTCCTTCATAGATATTCACCCAGTTATTGTGAATGTGTACATTAGAAGTGTACATCTCAGTATAAGAGATCTAAAAAAAAAAAACGGTTCCTGGGATTAAATGCTTGGTTTTTATAAACTGACATCAATGGGGGGGATTATGAGAGATTGGGTTCCAGGGCGCAAAGACCCCACCACATACAGAGTGTATAGATGTTTAGTCTCTTTTTATTGTTGTGTCTTTTTAATGTCCTTTTTTGTCTTGTTGTAGATGTTCCGTGTCAATTTGTACTTTTTTTCTCTTTCTGTAGTTATTGTGGGTTTCTTTTTCCCATTGTATAGTCATTCAGTGTGTCCTGTACTTGTTTTGTGTCACTTTGTAGTTGCTCTCTGTCTCTTTGTAGTCCCTTTGTTACTCATTGTAGTTCTTTTGTGTCCATTTGTAATCCTTTTGGGGTTTTCTGTAGTTATTTTTGCCTCTCCTTGTTCTAGCTGTTCCCTTTTTATAGTCATGTTGTGTGTCTCTCGTAGATTTATTTTGTCACTGTTAAAAAAAAATTCTTTTTGTTGATTCATGTTGTCTGAACTTGTTTTCTGAGTCTCTTTTCTGTCCGGTTGTAGTTGTTTTGTGTCAGTTTTTAACGAGTTTGGTCCTTCTGTAGTTTTCCATTTCTTCATAGTTGCTTCACATCTCTTTGTAGTCAATGTGTCTCTCTGTGGTTGTTTTCCCACTTTTTATAGTTGAACTTGTGATGCTCTTTTTGCAGCTTTGTTGCATTCATTTTTGTCCTCTTTGTAGAATCTTTGTTTCTTTGTGGTCATTTGAATTCTCTTCCTGGTTGGTACGTGTCTCTTCGAGTTACACTTTGTGAACTGAAGGCCAGGGGGCCCCTAACACTTTGGACCCATGGTTCAGTAATCCGTCTATGTACATTATATTGACCTGGGTGCATATGTCCAAGTATTTTCTGATATTTTGTAACCCAAACATTTATTCAAATCCTTGCTTGGTTTGGTTCGCGCATTAATAAATAAGGCTTTATTTTAAACGACAATAGGTGTGAGAATATGACCGGAGCATGGGCCTTTCTTAGGGTCATTGTCAAAACTATTTTTAGATTGATGAACGTTACTGTAGGACATAATATGAGTAATACTGGCTCAGCACTTGTTCAAATGCACTCGATCAAGATACACTGACTGTGAGAGGACATTCCTTCATGTGGGGGGGGGGGGTGTGTGTCTCAGTAATGATTCAGCAGGCTGAGTCAGGCGTCGTTGATAAACATCCAGTTGTGCTTGACTGACGTGCAGAGAACAGCCTCCCTCCTCCCTCTCTCCTCTCCTCTCGGTGAGGATGGAGGCTGACTCCCACATGGCAGATTGCATCATTATCATTTCATTACGATGGCTCCCTGCAGGCTCTTTCCTCTTACACCCCTGTGAGGTGTTCCACTTAATGAACATAAGTAATGACAATGTGAGGGGGAAGGACATCTTAAGACTGTGAGTCATCATTCCCAAATTGGAGGTTTTTGACACTTGTGACAGAGTAGTGTAGGATAGTGAGGCTTTAATTTGTGCGTGGGCTTGTTTCATTTTTGTGTAGTTTGAATAAAAGCATGTTGAAGTTTCTCTGAGAATTTAAGAAATGTGTCAGTTTTTTAAAACGTCGTATCTATTGACCTGGTTTGTCCCTACATGTACTTTATACAAATTACAAACTAATTTCTTTGCATACAGTACAAATAACATGCCATCCTTCCTTCCTGCAGCAGTCAGACAAAAACAGCCCCTGGTAGACCATCACACAAACACAGACTCTTACAATCTTGTGCACTAAACCCTTTGTTTGTGGTGAAGGAAAGAACACATCTGTGGTTTTTCAGGGGTTTCAGTCCAACTTGTTTTCCTTCCTGATCACTTTCAGTGTATTCACCCCTTTTCTCTTTTTTTCAGGAATACCTGGAAGACCAGAAATACAGGGATGAAGAAGACCTGGCAGAAAAGTTGGAAGGTCTCAAAAGTAAGTAAATCCCCTCCGTCCCATCAGTAGTTTCGGTATCTAAGTATTGGTCTTTGTGAGGGTGTGTTCCTTTTTCCTGGCTTTTGTATTCGCCTGAAAATGTGTGTGTGTTTGTTGGCAGTTTACACACACACACACACACACACACACACACACACACACACGAGTCTTCAGCATTTTGTGTTTCTCTGTGGGAAAGACGGACTGCAGAGATTTCTGAGAGCTTTGCAAGGCCAAATCCTCCGTGGCCCTGCAGGAATGTGCAGGGGCGTTCCTCTGCTTATTGTTACAATATTCAGAAATATGCTGGGTAAACGCATAGCTCCTGGGGATAGAAAACATCACTGCTGTGAGGAGATAAAAGCAGGAACAAAATGACATGATTTGCCAAAGATCTCCTCCCCATTGCTCTGATATTACACATGTAGGCTCTGGGTGCATGGAGAGAACAAAGTATATTATCAGCAACATCACATAAGGCTTTTTTTTTTTTTTAAATGGAGGGCATATGAGGAACATGCTCCACTGTCCTACTTATAATCTATGCTTGCTGGAGGAAATGGAGCAGCAATATATAAACTGAAAGAGGAACTGACACCCAGTTCCTGTGAGGATCGCTGTCATTCCCCTTCTGTTTCATGCTGTTCCACTTAACCAGAGGTCACTAAACACAGCTTTTAAACACAAACCAAATCAATTATTCTCAGGACCATAACATTTATAAATATACCCTACTTTAAGGGTCAAATTACTTTTTTCAATTATTCATTTTTGCTTTATTATGAAGGATGCTTATAGGGCTGTACAATTCGGGACAAAATGACTAATTTTATTTATTATGACTGATATTGCGATGATCCCCCCTATAGTAAGGGGAATGACCATTTTT